TTTAACTCCCAAGGAGAAAAATGCGCTGTGATAAGCGGCGGATCGTGGTTTAAAATAATGTGGGTTTATTGTTATATCTCTATTATGGTATCTTGAGCTACATCCAATTCTATGCTGGTCTTAGTTTTAAATGCATTTCAGCGGTTACCAGTTGAAAGCATTCTTTAAATAAATGCTACTGCTAAATATGAAGTTTATTAAACCATTTTAACTAAAACTTACATTAAACAATGCGTGCCTCGAACGTTATATCACATACTTTTCATCAAAGTTTCGGTTTTAGCTATACATTAAAATATCAAATGTATTATAATCACAAACTGAATTGCTAAGGCTTTTAATACGAGAGTTAGGAAATAAAGTAATAGTTTAGCGAATGTATTAAAAAAGCACTACCTTCAGCATAAGAACAGCGTGTACTGAAACAGTAAATAACTGGCGCATATTTCCAAACATTTCATTTTATTTGGTATCTGTTGCATGTTCTGAGATTAAAATATATTGCTTTTGAAATACTGAATGCTTTGATTGCATTTGATAAGGCAAATGTTTTATTTCATACAAGTAAGTTGAATATACTTAGTACGCGCTTTTTTCAAAATCAGATTTAAATACCATGCATTTTGTTCATCAGAAAGTCCCATCACAAAATTACCAATGACACTTTCTTTCAAAACAGTTCTCGAATTCGATATACATCTGATGAAAAATCGTGGTTGAGGAACGGAAGGGGAAAGCCTTACTAAATAATTAATTACTCTTTCTTCAGGTGGGGAAAGTTACTTAAACCAATTTTCAGAGTGACATCAACATGCATCTGGCATACTTCTACTTGTCAAAATATAGCAAAGACAGATGAAGAATAGTGTCTTTTACAGTTAGACAGGCATTTCGCCATACTGCCCTAAGCATGGAATGAAACAAGAAAAATGAAAGATGTCTCCTTTTCTATATTTCATATTATTATTTTCAAATTAAAGACTTCGTGATAAAGACCGGAATTCGTATTAGCTGTATTACGCATGTGCATAGCGCACAGTAAAGTGAGACATCAGAATTCGAAATCCCACCTGGTGAGTTGCCCCCCCCTTAACTGCGTTTAACGTCTTTAGTAAAGAAGAGGAAAAAGCATTTCCGTACCGGGTTAGCGTCTAGAAGAAATGATCGCTTAACCAGCAGAGGTTGCAGAAAGGACGGATTTTGAAAACTGTAATAAACGAAACGTAATTACGATGTATTGTGATTAGATGCAGTTTCTCCTGAGAAGCTAGCTGTGTGTGTACTTCATTACCCCAAAAACATAGGTAATTCTTTGTATCAAAGCATGCATTGTCATTATATATTAGTTTTAGAGACAAGAGAAACTTGTGAAGCATTCGGTGCTTATTGTTGAAGAAGTTTAACTATGTTGAGAAATTTCTATGAAAAATTGCATAAAGGTTTACATTTTTTTCGTTGTTATCACGCGTTTCACTCAGCAGACAGTATCACAGTTTGAATCTTTAGTCACATAAAAATTAGGCTCGAGTAATCACTGCAAAAGAATTTCCCCATGACCAGTAATGTGTTTGTGCTCTAATTTTGAAGTATAATAATACATAACTACTTTTATTACTTCTTTTTAATATCAGCAGTATATCTTATATGGATTACGGAATGTGAACTAAAAAGCATCAGAAAGGTGTTACACTTAACTGATGTTAAGAGAGAAAAATAATATGTAAATAAAAAGTATAATTGGCAGTAGAAGTATTTGAAAACAAATCAGCAAAATGCAGTTAAATGTGATGAAGTGTTCTTTCATTACTAGACACAACATTAAGAGTCTCGTTCTCTACCGACAAACATGCTAATGACAAACATACTTAAAAGCAAGTACCGATTTCCATTTTTATTTATTATTTTTTTTAATTTTCATGATTTTTTCCATTCTCCACTTCTTCTTTTGCAAAAGATGCGAATAATTAGATAATTTCGAACCGAAATAATAAGAATTACCATATGTTTCAAAATATTTATTTGCTATTAAAAAGAAAAACTAATTTTTAATTTTAAGCTTTTAACTGCAGATAATATGAATTCAAATTAGTTGTGTTCAACTGGCAATATAAAAAAGAAAGTCAGTGCTGTTTTTACGTAAATTGCATACATAATGCCTAGATTCACGGAAATTAATGAAGAATTAAAATATGTGTAGGGTAATATAAAATAAACAATACCCAAACTACCTGATTTTTATTAAGTTTTGCAGAAGCATGTCAGTTTGAAATGCAAAAATCTCTGTTCTGTCTCATAGAACATTATAGGACAATATAGCGAGTTGTAATTAATTTGATCCTATATTGACAGTTACTGCATATTGTTATTTTTAAATTATAATTATTTCGATCTAAACTTCAGACTTATTCTATTTTAAAATTTCAGCCTTGTTCAGTTCATTCGAAGAAATTATGGGAAAAAATTATAATAAACTTTAATTGACTTGTCAAAAAGATTAAGAGAGAAAAGCTTATTTTGACACTTAGCTCAATCAAATTTCGATTCAGATTTTATTGTCATGTCATACGAGATGTATGTAAATGAAATATTTGTAGCTAACACAGGAAAGTAATGTTTATACCCTCCATGTTATGTTTTCATCTCATTTCTCAGACATGAGCAAATCATCCAAATTCACTCTCATGCTGACATTTCTTGATAGCCGTTTTAAGGTTTCTAGACAGCTATTTTTCATGCATGTAAATATTAGTTTTGCAAGGAGTGTCAGTGGCTTGCTTTCAATTGAAAAAACACTGGAATATATCCAGAAGATGCACAACTTTCAGCTCTCCACTTTTAAACACTAACATCTTAATTAACCCTAAAGTTGGAAAAGTTGAATCTCTTATCCAATGAGTAAATTTCTTTCTTTAAAGTGAAGCGTTTGATTATATATTTTGTTTTATTTCTTCCAAACAATAAAAGACAGGAAATGCACTAAAACTCTTAATCTTGAAGCAGTAAGAAAAACATGTTTCTTAAACAACCCAGAAAAAGATATTAAAAAGACTGCTGACTGGATTGTTTGCTTCATAAAACTCACTTATCTCAATGAGTAAAATTCATTAGAATTATTGATAACAAACGGATGCATGTTTAATAAAAATACCTAATTTAGGTTGATAGATAACATGGTCTTCATACTTTTAAAAGTATAAAAACCGAATATATTAAACGAACATTTTAAAAACTCAATTATTCTTGAATGTAATATACTCTCAATGCACGTAAATGATGAATAAATCAAGGGACCAGAAGAAATGAGCAACTGCGGTTAGATAAATTTATGTTTATTTCCCCGAAACCATCCTAATTCGAAAACGTTTATTAAAATCCTCATTAAGAGCGACATAATTGATTACCGCGATGTACTTTAAAGAGGATGTGATGCAAAAGCGTTATATATTCACTTTTCTTATTTCAGCATGTTAAAACGGACCGATTTTCATCATAAATAATTCCACCTGTTTATGTATTTGCTCTTGAAATATCATTTCAGCCTAAATCCAAGCACAGTTTTAAAAATCTAAAAAACAGGGACTTTAGCCAGTGAAAATCTGACATAGAGCAGATTAATCAGCCATAAAATTTTCTCTCTATATGTACATTATTTATCCTACCTTAAAATGGACTCCCATTGTTATTCTTTGGGGACTCAAGAATAATTTAATAGATTTAAATTTTTACTTCCAAAACATAAATACATTTTAAATACTAAACTCAAATCTTCAGTTCTTTACTGTGATATTTTTAAAATCGTCAGTTATTTGTGAGCAATGAAAAAAATAAAAAAATTAGCCATTCACTACAACCTAATTACTTAATTTACCTATAAAATAATAAAATAAAACAAAATTCCTTTCACCATTAATTCAGATAATTACTGTTTTGACTCATATAATGCAAGATCTAATGTTAAATGACAGGAAAAATATGAAATCTTAAATTTGTTCTGGATTATAAGCTAGGCTTCATATATGTGTGTCACATAATTTCTAATGAGTATCTAACAAAGAAATGTTCATTTAAACAATTAATCAAATGACTTAAATAGACACGTGTATAAGAAGTGATTAAATGTTTGAACAGCAAGCACAGCAAAAGTTTAAAATATGCTTTGTATGTTAAATTATGTTATTGATTAAATGTTTGAACAGTAAACACAGCAAATTAAAGTTTAAAATATGCTTTGTGACTGTATACGAAAATAAGCTTTAATGAATTTTTTCTTTAATCTGAAAATGTATTCAGCTGTCTACTGTGATGAAAAAAGTACATTACGTGTAAAATGTAATGCAAAATGTCACTCATGAAAAAGCTGAAAAGTTATACACCATCTTTAGAACACATTAATTTTGTTCCCATATGTTTAAGGGGAAAAAAAAACAGTTTCTCATTACCGAAATGTCTGTAAATTTGTAGAAAATTATGAATGCAGAATATAAAAGAGACTGTCATATTCTTAAACTTTTTAATACATGTAATGCACGTTTTTATATCGTGGGCTTAAATATTTTATACATGAAATTCACTTTTTGAATGAGTATTCAACATGCTTTCTGAATGCTCAAATGGAGCTAATTGTTTGTACACATAAATGTGCATGTATGTGTGGGTTAAAAATATCTTACATGTGTTAATTAGTCTATCCCATTGAAATCTAACAAAAGAAACTGAAAATGTTAAAATTATAGGTATAAATAATTTATATATGTATATATATATATATATTATATATATATATTGATTGTATATGTTCTGTTTATCTTATGGACAACACTAAGCAGGCTAAGGGAAATTGAATGTAATATATATAAATGACATTACAATTTAAAACTGTAAGCATCAATATTGAGTTGTGCTTTCTTGTGTGTTTTCACAAAAAGTAATCTGCAACGTCATATTATATGCATTGAACAAATATTAATAAATCATGCACTGATAAATAAATACAACATGCATCATTGTCCAGATATTTATTGAAAATTGATAGTCACATAAAAGTTGTAAATAGTGTGTTCATGGCACAAAATACAAGCCAAAATGTACCTGATACAAGATATGTATGTAATATGTTTATTCTTCATAAAGATGACGCCATCTGTAAAGAAAAGAAGACAAAAGAATGTTAAATCAAACGCCACTATTAAAGTAACATTAATATACTTTGATTAAATATTTTTGGATTCATCAAAGCATTTTTAAGAAATCAAATTAAAATTTACATATATCACCTGTAGTGAAGTGCTTTTTTCCTCTTAGATGTACGCTCATTAACCATTAAGCAAAATAAGCACATGCTTAGAATAAGATCTTAGGACAGCAAACATAGGGGCCGTCACAAAAAGGTATTTACGGACTCAGGAAAGAGGGATCACCACAAAACTTTCCATTGCCAGTTCTACCATGGAATATATGGTGCAACTAAATAAGACCAGGATAGAAGGAATGGACAAAAAATCAGGTGTAAATGTGAGTGATGGCCACCAAAACGTTTAAAGTGCTTAGAGCTTCTAAAATGTCTTAATCCGGCCCTGGCATACATAACACTATACTGAAGTAATGATATCAGCATGTGCTCAACATGCTTTTGGATTACTAAGACCTAAATTTTCATTACACAGAGAAATGTACATTGTCACAATTCTAAGATTCTTTCTTCTAACCCAGGCTGATTTATATGTAATTGCACATATGTTTTTGTTTGCTACCAGATGTGGACAAGACAATCAAAGAAACGAAATTTTGCAAACAATCAATGAAACTTTTACGGCAAACGTCAAGTGCTTTAGATATTAAGGATCCCAATAAAAAAAAATACATGCTCTCTCTCTATATATAAATAATTTGGAAATGTTGATGGCAGATAAATGCGTAAAGAAGAAACTTGTAGTCGTGACCGAACTTTAATATTGCTTTTCTATTCTCGTTGACAATAATTTCTAAGCCAACACAGATAAAGTGACAACCTACGCGCCTGCTCTAGAACGTTTCCATTCTTTAAGAAAAGGAGCATCAGCAGGGAATCTAGATAGTAAGCAAAGCAGACCGCGAATGCCACCTGTCTGGGAGGAAAACTGGGCTTAAAATGACTGAGTTTGGGTTCACAATATTGGTTTGCTTTATCTTGATTGGTTAATGTATAAACTTCTAAAATTATTATTGGCTGAAGCCTTATGCAAGTTATCTGTCATGAGCTTCGTGTAAGAAACATGTGATAGCTATTAATTTTGAAATGATGAGACGTTAATTATGTGCAGTTACTATTTTTAGGACAAAAGGGAAATAACATAGAGAATTAAAGAGCTACTGTAAATTAAATTTCGAATTCTGCTTTCCATATTATTTGTCTTACACAGATATGTATACTAATTCGGTGAAGTCATGCTATTGAAGCACAAAGAAGTGATTGCAGTCATGGCCGAATTTTAATACCCCTTTTTATTTCTTGCTAACCAAATATTTCTACTAAGCCAACATAAATAAACTGGCGCAGTAAGCACCTGTTCTTGAAGAGCTACATTGGAACTACATAAAATTTCGAGACATAATTGAGGAAAGCAATGGTCTAGCTATACAGGAAAGCAAACAGCAAGTGCGCTGAACGAAAAAGTTAGGGTTTTCCAACAAGTTAGTTTCGTTTGCTTCACGTGGGACAATATTCAAGCTTCAAAATTTTTAATTGGCTCAAGCCTTGCATAAGTTACTTGGATCATGAGCTTTATGAAAGAAGAATGAATTTTGAAACGGCGAGATTTAGAGAGATTTATTATACGCAGTTACTAATTTTAAGCCAGAAAGGGGAAATATCCAAATTTAAATATTGCTGATTAAGGGATTATTGTAAATTAAAATTTTGATTTTTCTAACTCCATATATATGTGTGTTAATATGTGTGAAATTAAAGCAGACACAATGCAATTCAATGTAATGGTGCAGGAAATATTAATAGCGAAGATGTTGAGATGTTGATCCACAATGAAGAGCAAACTTGGCAGCCGAGGCAGATTAAATATTCATTTTTATTTTAACTGACATGTGTGGCCAAAATTAACTTGGCACTCATTAGAGTGCCTATTTCAAGGATTTACATTTTTAATAGCTTAGCGATAAGAAGAGAAGCAGCAAGCAAAACTAGAAGTCTGCATTCGCTGAGAAGCAGATGCAAAAGTGTGTAGTTATCGAGTATGGCAGCTTATTAAGAGAAAGGTTTCGGTTCAGGAAATTTTAAGTTCCGAATCAGCTACGTCATCATCATTATGTAAAAGTCATATGATATGGATTTTTCTAGAAATGAGGCAGTCCAAAAAAAAAAAAAATTATTACTATTTTTAGAAAAAAGAGGAGAAATACCCAAACTAAAATTAGGAATTAAAAGGCTGTTGCTAATTTAAGTTATAATTTTGCTTTATCTGATTTTTACCTTATATATTTATAAGTAACTGTGCATTGTTAGACATGAAGTAGGTATACTGCATTTAAAATAATAATAATAAAAAAGTTTTCTTTTAGAGAAAATATACAGGCAAAATACACTTCTTATACGGAAATAAACATTAGAACGGGGGGATGCCACTGTCATCAAAATTTCTTTAAATTTTTTTTTAAACATTCAAAATCTAATAATTTCAAATCACAAATAACGATACAATAATATGTAGCATTTAAAGAATTTTTTATATAAAACTTTTTTTTTCAATTATAAAAGCATTTTTATTTTATAAATTAGGGGGGGGATCAATCTTCTGTCGGCATTGTTTTACACACACGCATATGTATACACTGGTGTGCAAAAATTAAGGACGAGACGGTTTTTTCAATATAACTTTGTACAAAAGCTTTCCAAATCACACATTTAATACGTAAGATCCCCAATACGTAAGGACATGAGTAATGTAAGCAAACACTTACTAAAAGAGAATCAGAGGGATAAAAAGAAGCTTTATTGAAAAAGTAGCATGGAGCGCAATGCGACTGAAGGCCGAAACATCCCTGTGATGGGTGTTGTCCAGCAAGAACATCCGGTCTTTAATAGGAGATATGATCTCCCCTGACTGCTAGGCAGGTTTCACAGCGTCTGCCCATGCTGAGAATGAGGGTGTCAATGAGTTGTTGAGGCATTGCTGCCCATTCGTCTTGCAGCGCAATCGAAGGCTCCGGAATCGTTACTGGTGGTAAGGTACGAGCTGCCAAGCGTCTGCCTAGAAAATCCCATACATGCTCGATGGGATTGAGAGCCGGAGATCGTGCCGGCCAATCCATATGTTCAATATCCTCACTCTCTAAGAACTGTTCGGCAGCTACTGTGCGATGACATGGTGCATTGTCGTCCATGAAAAGGAACTGCGGACCCATAGCGCCTCTAAAAAGACGCACATATGGAAGAAGAATCTCGTTACAATAACGGGTCCCGTTGACTGAACCTGCGTCGAAGATGTGAAGGTCTGTACGACTACCAAGCATGATGCCTCCCCAAACGAGTACACCGCCACCTCCATACCTGTCCCTTTCAATGATGTTCGAGGGATGATTGCGGCTTCCCCGCTCTCTCCAGATGAGTATGCGATGAGAATCGCTACTCAGACTGAATCTGCTCTCATCTGTAAAGAGTACTCGTCCCCATTAATTGTCTCTCCAATTCCGGTGTTCCCGGCACCACAGAGAACGGCTTCTTCGATGGGCAGGCGTTAGAGGTACACACCGTACAGGGCGTCGTGCAAACAGACCACCACCGTGCAGTCTTCTGGCCACGGTAAAACGCGATATCGGTCGTCCAGTCGCTTGTGTCGTGTGTCTAGCGATTTCTCCCGCTGTCTACCGCCTGTTTCTTCTGGCCTGTAAGGCAATATACCGGTCATCTGCGGGTGTGGTTCCTCGTTGACGACCACTACTAAACCCCCGGATAGCTGTTCCTGTAGTTTGAAATTGTCTCCAAAGTCGTGAAACGATGCTGTGAGCAATTCCGAACTCTGCAGCCACACTTGTCACACTGCGGCCTTCCTCCAACTTCCCAATGATTCGACCTCGGGGTAAAAGCATCCAGATGTCGTCTAACAGATTGATTATTCGCCATTTATTGCTGAGGCAGCAACTCAGTGTGATTTTAACTGCTATACGGCGTGCAATCTCTTTGCCAGAAATACTGATCTTACACCGACAACATACTTTATACCACTCAGACGCTCCCCCATTACATCTACCTGCATATCTGCGCATGGGCTACCGTACATCACCTTACTTAATCTCCTGATTGGTCTTTCTGTCCGCTCTGCCTCTTCATTCAGCTGATATGCTAATTTTTCGACTTCGTCCTTAATTTTTGCACACCAGTGTATTGTTGCACCAACCCCTTGATGACGATGCAGTGAAAGATGTAAATTTCGTTTTTCATTTTCATTTTCGTTTGGTTTGGCATTTTTTACGTCTATTATCTATTATGCAGTTTGCCATTGTGCTTCTGTTTTTTTCTGAACTGAACATGGTACGGACTTTTAAAGTACTTCTAATTTATTTTGCATTATATATACAAGGACAGGTATAAAAATTTGCTTTTAATTTTAACCTATTATTATGCTTCTTTTTTTGTATTTATTTATGAAAGATAAAGAATATGAAAGCAAACTTCTAATTTAAATTGGCTATAACATCTTTTATTTTTTACTTACTTTGGGGACTTCCTCTATCTGTCCTAAAAATAGCGCCATACAGTGGATGGACAAAAATATGGAAACACCTTGTGAAATGCATGTTTGAAAAGAAAGATTGATTTTAATGAAATATGTAGGTGGCGCTGGCGTTTTTGACTACTGACGCCACCTATACAACTTCGCAAATGTGCTAAACAGTTCAGTTGTTGTCGGAGTACTGTTATGTGAGGTTCTCATTGCATTCTCATGTGAACTCATGTGAGGCTGTCATTGCATTATGTCAGAGTTAACAGACTTCGAACGTGGGCAAATTGTTGGAGCACGTATGGTAGGTGCTTCCGTAAGCAAGGTAGCCGAGGTGTTTAGTGTTTCAAGAGGTACTGTATCGAAGATTTATTCCGCATATTTGTAAAGCGGAAAAACGTCATCTGCTAAATCACAGCGCGGACGAAAGTGTGTCCTGAGTGATCGTGACAGACGATCATCAAGGGCAATTGTGACGAAAAATAAGAAGACCACAGCTGCAAAAGTTACTGCTGAAATGAAATGTTGTGTTACCGAACCCTGTGAGTACCAAAACAATTAGAAGGGAGCTTCATAAACAGGGAATTGCTGGCCGGTGCTGCAATTGAGAAGCCACTCATCAGTGATGCTAATGTCCGTAACAGGAAAAGGTGGCGTTTATTTAAGTCATAAAGCCTGGACTATAGAGCAGTGGAAGCGAGTAATATGGTCTGACGAGTCTTCTTTCACATTGTTTCCCATTCTGGCCGCCGAGTTTACGTCTGGAGAACGCCATCTCAAGCCTATAATACAGACTGTTTTTGTTACCAAGAGTGAAACATGGCGGGGGTTCTGTTTATGGTTGGGCAGCCATATCGTGGTTCTCTGCTAGCCCCATGATAACTGTGTCAGGGCACATGACTGCCAAGACTTATGTGAACATTTTGGCCGATCAAGTTCATCCCATGGTACAAACGTTGTTCCCCGATGGTGATGGTGTCTTTCAAGACGACAAAACCCCTGTTCACGCAGCTCACATTGTCCAGGACTGGTTTTCTGAGCACGAGGATGAGTTGTCCCATCTCCCCTGGCCACCACAGTCACCAGACCTGAATATTATCGAACTTTTGTGGTCTACATTTGAACGGAAAGTGCGTTCTCGTTATCCACCCGCCAACATCGTTATCTGAACTTGCCACCGTTTTGCAGGAAGAAAGAATGGTATAATATTTCCCTTGGCAAACATACAGGAACTGTATTTATCCATTTCGAGAAGACTGCAAGCTGTTTTGGATGCCAACGGGTTTCCTACACCATATTAAGCAAAGAAACATGTTTTTTTAAAGGTGTTTCCATATTTTTGTCCAACCCCTGTAAGTCTAAACTGCGTCTCTCAAATTAATCATGCGATCCTACGTAACGCTTAATGCAGCTACCTCTTGCCCAATCAAAATAATTGCAAACCAAAACTTTTTGACTCCCTTCCTTTTTTTTTTTTTTTTTTGCATTACTACTGGGACACTCTCTCCCCTTCTCGCTTACGCTTTCATCCTCTTAAGACGCTGCTGCAATAATATATGTTCGCTTCTATTCACAATAGTACCAAAATTATTCTAGAAATAAGCACGATTGGAGTGATAAGGGAATTGTGGCCACAAATGTGAATTTAAATAAATATGGAATTTAATCAGGCTCTTCAAAATGGATGGACGCTTTAAGCATCAAGTATCTACTCCATCAGTATTTCTGCGCATCTACATCTCAGTGTTCTTACATCAGTGCTTCCAAAATTGTGCTTTTTTTTACATATAGATAGTCTCTTCTCAACAAGAGTGATTTTTCTTAACTTTACACATGATATTTGGGTGGTTCTCTTCCACACATTTACTCTGTTAATAAATTATTACAATAAGACAATGCATGTTAATGACGTTGGAAGTATTTATTTGATTATTAAGTGGAAAACTCTATAATATCTTTCACCCAAAATTGACAACTTATTCATATAAATCTCAATTTAATGCACTCTGTTATAAGGTCTCATATACGTATTAGCAAAATGAATTTATCATCATGATTGCACTTTAAAAAATAGTAGCTGCCATATGTAGCATCATTTTATGTATATCTTAAATGTCACATTTATACCCATAACGACTGAGATTTTCATCTGAGTTACTTTTTTCTGTACAAATATACAGTCATAACTATTCTCGAATGATAACAATACTTCCCTTCTGTATGTGCAAGTATCCATCTCTCTATATATAAATATATACGTGTAATAATTTGGAAATGGCCGAATTTTAATATTCCGATTTATTTCCGTTAGCCAAACATTTTAGTAAGGCAACGCAGATAAATAAGCGCAATATACGCTTGTTCTTGAAGAGCTACATCAATTCCCATAAAATTTTGATATGTATTTGAGGAAGACAACAGTCTAGCTAGTCAGAAAAGCAGAGAACAGGTGCGATATGTTCAAAATGAAAAGTTAAGGTTCCTAAATAAGTTAATTTCTGTTTCTTTGTCTAGATCGCATAATATTTAACTTTCGAAAACTATAATTGTTTGACTTCTTATATATGTTATCTGCATCATGAGCTTGACGTATGAGTCTACTAATTTGGCCACTGATCTTGAAATTATACAGAAAAAATACGTATTGCGGATATATATATATATATAGAAACACAGACAAAAAATATTAAGAAAAATATATAATCATTCCAAGAATTTTCGTGCATTATGCCACTGAAAATTGATCAGCAATAAAGAAAGAAATTTAGAACCAATTTTTCACAAAGACTAAAAATTAAAATTAAAATAAGTAAATGAACGTCATAAAATCCAATAAATGTCAAATTAGAATTCTTTAAATCTCAATAGAAAAATTCTCAAGAAAAACCGAAAAAAGAAAGAACAAGGAAAACCAAAAAGAGCATGAAAGAAGAGGAATTCAATTAACCACGATATAACGTCGTCAGAAGGAGGATACATCGAAATCAATTGCAATTCCTCTTCCATAAGAAAATCCTTGCTTTTATGCATCTAGAATTAGCCGATGAACCATACCAATACATTTTTTAAAAGATTTCGGGTGAACTGTTTATATATATATAATGAAAAACTGAGATACAAGTGAGGTTTTAACAAGACATTTCTTTGATTAAATAAATGTTACAAGAGTTATCATATAGGAATCAGCAAGTTAAAAAAAAAACTGGTTTCAGCTTGCATTTATCTTTATAGTTCTTACTACGTATCAATAGATCTGCCAGTCAAAATGTAAGAATCTACAGAGTTTCTAATTACTAAAACTGATGCAAACTGAGCGTTTAACTAAGATAGCATCTATACTGAATATAAAATGCTTCGTATCTATCAAGACAAACTACTTTTATGTATCTTAAGTGCAGAATTAATAAAATACCGTAATGAAATTTCTCTGATATATTCTAAACATTCTTTAGCATGTATTAAAAATACCCCTCATACACTTATAAAAACTTTGCATGTTCAGAATGATAGTAAATTTATTAAGTGTGGTGTATCATATGTCCCAAATTTATTGATCTTATTTACTCACAGGAATTAAAGTATGTGAGTTATTCATAACTGGTTACCAGTAATTGGAAATTTAACTCAAATGACTTCAAGCATTTCTTTATGAATGTGTGTGACTCTTATATGAAATAGTTAAAAGCAAATGTCTTACAAAATGTTTAACTCTTTGAAGACCATAACGCCCCAGACGGCCCTTCATTCAAACGACCACAGCCGCCCAAAACGGCCGAAATTTGGATATTGTTTTCTTTCGTCCGCTAAGGTATGCAGTAGCAGGTGCATCCCCAAATGCATTGTATCAATTTATTGCAGACAGCTTGCCCTAAAAGGATTTATTTTGTGGTTTCTTATCTTTATTTGTTAGGAAATCCACAGGATGACATTTAAAATCTTCACTCTTCTTTGTTCGTTAATGGATGGGAAGGGGAGGAAATTGCTGTGACTCTCCAAAACCTTTTTGGGCGGTTCAGTATGTTTTGCATACAGGTTAGCGAAAACTTTGGTTTTCAAAGAGTTAAATAAAAGTTTGAGTGCTATGCGTCAATTATGTTATTATTTCGAAGCGTAAGGGCATCGGTTATTTATTTTTAAAATAAATAGCATTCTAGTGTTAAAAATTTACAGAAATAGTTTAATTTAAAATGAAACAGGGGTTTTGAAGGCTAACTCAAAAATCTTTTAAAGCAAGAAATATTAAAATTTATACACATGTATTTATTTAGTTTTTTTTTACTTTCAGAAATATACATTACCTAGAATTAACGAAGTATCAGTGCATTTTCTATCCCTTTATCTTCACATTACTTCATAACATCTGAAGAAATAATATTCTGATGTGGAACAAATTCACTTTGGGGAGGTCACAAATACTTTTTTTTTTCCCCCTGGATTCATGTGCAGTACTTAAAAAAAAAAAAAAAAAAAAAAAAAGTGAGATATTACTAGAAAAGTATAAACTGAAAAAGATTTTTAAATATACCTTATAAATATCAAATACACATTCATCGAGAAAAATATAAACTGCAAAAAGATTTTTAAATATTTGTTATAAATACCAAATACACATTCATCAAGAAAAATATAAATTGGAAAAATATTTTTAAATATACGTTATAAATGCCAAATACGCATTCATCAATTGAACTATTCTGATGAATGTTCAAACAATCAAGGAAAAATAAAATAATCTTACATAAAACACTACTCAGTCTGTGATAGGATTAGATACCTTCTGTAGAATCATATGAGAATATTACGATGTGGTAATAATAAAATAAATGTGGCTAATGTACTTATTTATGGGCACTGTAATTTCGGAAGTAAAATACAGCAAGGAAGAAAAATGAAAAATTTCGCCCAAGAAAACGTACATAGCAAGGGTATTTTTTCATTCCATGATTATATTAATATGTAAAAATTTTACGATAAAGAGTGAAATAAGTGTATAATTAGATTAATACTATCTCTATTACTAATGCGAATCCTAACATTCCCATATTATGCAAAATACAAACTTAGATTGCCAACAACTTCAAATTAAAAGGCTCTAGGTATTTCAAGAGATATATGATGAATCACTTCATGAAGACTAACTATACCAAACATGGTGCATAGATTGTCACTCATATAAGTGGTACGCGGCTTTTACAGAGGTCTTTGCCACTAAAAGTCACACTGTACCCTAGTAGGTTCGTAACTATCTCATGAGGAAAATGTTATTTAGCTTCTATAGGCGAAAAATAAAATTAAAAAAAAAAAAAATATCCCCAAACAATTTTCTGGCACATATAAGTGAGGAAAAGTTTAAATTGCAGTCGCAGGGTCCAAACCTGCAAACTCGGTTCTCAGAGCAAATTTTAAAATTTTATATTTAGCTATGCTTTTCTTGACAAAGCTGTCGAATTAATCGTCAAGTTCAACAAATTTCAGATTGCGTTCTTTATCTGTGAGGATAGCAATCAGTTTTTCCATATGAGTTCCGTCAGTTCTAACTCCTTGTATAATTAATATAATTTTTATTTAGGAATCCTTTGATATTTGTATCTTTGATCCATTCAATACTGTTATTTATTTTTTCTGGTAGGGTATGAATGTTATTTTACACACTATCGCTGTACATAACATTCATATTGAATATGTTATTTACGTTAAATATCTTTTCCCTTCTGCTGGTCGCTTCCTTCACATCTCCCTAACTATGTAAACAAAATTCCTTCCACTAGCCCTCTCCCAGTTCAGTATTTAATGTTAGTGCTGATTTTGCTCTTATTCAGGAGTTAAAAGCTTTTAAGCGTTGTTATTAGCAGATATTTTCTCCTTTTATGTTGAATAAACAATTTTGAACTTTTTCCTTCTTATAAAACGTTATGTTCTTCCATTAATAACATTTGTAATTATTTTCTGGTCGAAATTTTTTCAATCTTTTGGCTGCCCAAATTTCCCACAGGTTGTAAATTCCAATTATTTTTGCATCTGCTAATAGAATTCATGGTCGATTCAAGGTCTCACATCCTGTATCAGATTTGAATGCTTATTTTACATCAGTGTAGCTTCATTTTCATCGGCCTATTTTTCAACAAATGAAGTTAGGTTTCCTTGATTCTTTCAATAGCCATCAAATCTAATCCTTATTTTCCAAGAGTGTATCATCCTCTCTTTTTTAAATCTTTTGTATTTGTAATTTTTAAGCGAGTTCGTTCAATTATTGACTCATTATGCCCATTTATTTATATTTGAGGCAACGAACTTCAGTATATGCTTTCAGATAAGGCGAAGCTCACATTTCATCTCAAAATGCATATGGTTGGAGAGCGAATCAAGATTAATATGGGTTTGTGGTTACTATGGGCCTTTAGTTTGTATGATAGTATTTGTAGTAATAATACTATTAGTAGTAATTAATAAATAAATATGCACAGTTCAACGATTAAAATCAACTTCTCTCACAGGCATTAAGATGCCTCCCTTTATCATATTTGTATGCCAAGATTAAATAACTGGGATTTGTAATACGAGGTTGTGTCCAGAGATTTATAAATAAAAGCGACTAGCTATCCTGTTTATCAGTTTCATCGGTAAATATCTACAGTTAGCGCAATTACTTTTTAAGCGACTCAGAAACTCTTACTACATACTACAAATGTATTAAGATTTCCCAGACCTATTCGTAATGTCCTCTTATGGCATAAGCGTTTTTTAAGCAAATGAAAGGGAAAGGTGTACAGGAATTTTTTTAAAGTATTATTTGCTAAAGCTATCTGTACTTATATTAAAATCTATGTACGAAGAGTGAAACACGAATCCCAGGCATCCACATCATCTTTATAGTTGGCATGGTGTAAAAGTTTCATACTCTGCATTTGAATATTTTCTGGTCCTTCTTATAATGTTTCCTTCATATCAATTTTTATTTGTCATACGACCATATAATACTTTCATGCTGTAAGCCTTCTGCACTCTGAAGTTAATAACTTGTAAAATATCCTCAATATAAGCAACTGAATATATTTTTAAACAGGACCCCTCTTCCCTTCCGGACTACACACAAACACTTACATCAATAAGTTTTCATTTATTATCTAATTTGACAGTCCCAAGTAGCTTATAGAATATAATGTTGCATCAACACATAAGTACACATAAGTCTTTACTCGATATTGGGGCATTATATACACATCTCTCCCCCCGAGCGCAATTTTTCGTGGTTCTGGATTCTCGTTCCTAAAATATGGTAACTATGTATAAAGGAACACTTTCTGTAACCAGGATATCCACAACTCTTAAACATGCCTTCAAAGGTAATCTCTACATTCTTAATTCATCAAATAATATATAGTTAAACGTGACTGCGCAATAATTAATTCATCTTCTGTTATAAATTTCAGATTCTAAAAATGAATGTTCCTCAGTTGAAGCAGTCACACTGACAGAATACCTAATTCATGACACTATGCTCAAGGCTCTCTTTTACTCCCTTCTTTTTTGTTTTTCACAGGGGTCATAAGTTTTATTGAATTTCTTTACAAGTTCCATACGCTTTAGACGTTGCATTTCTTTCTCACTGAAATAAGCTACCTCAGTTGTTTACAGTTCTCACGACAGAAATAAAAATAATTTCAATATCTTACTTAACCACCGAAAACGCAACAAAACTAACCTCATGTCTGTTCATTTATGCATATAACATTTTAAATAAAATAAGCACTTTGATAGGTGACAAGAGAAAAGAATGAGCAAACTATGGGGATGCAGAAAAATATTTTCGCTCTAAAATTAATTTATGCATTATTATTTTAAAGTCAACTTAAAAATACGAGGCCTTGTCAATCTACAGTTCAAACTTGCCTAGACTTTGCAGTTTCTCTTATATCATTTAAAACTGATGCGGATCAAATAAGCATAAGTGTGTGCGCGCATTAAGATAGCAAAGAAATTTTTGAATTTAAAACACTAGGTTACTAATTTGCATTTCATAAATGCAGTTAAACTTCGTTTCATTTGTTCCTCTTTTGACAAAGTTAAAAAATAAATATTAAGCATTAACAATTGCTGACCATTAAAGCTCCTACATTGTTAAGAAAAGTAGGTAATGGAATCGTATTTGTTTACAAAAGGATTAAAATTTCAGATAATTCCGAGGTACAAAACATGCAGGAAATCAGCACTGTGAGCATGAACATATGCCAGCAACAGCAGTTGTTATATGGCTTGATTTGTGGGTGTGCCGCAGACCGACCTAGCCATAAGGTAGTAATAGCTATTATACGGTGGGCATAGACTCCTGGACAGAATCTGGATTCTAGTTACGAATATTGCAATGTATGCGGTTTCAGGTTAATGTTCAGCTGGCTGGTGTTGTCATACCACTTTCTATACAACCACTGATTAGGCGCTCTTTTAACGGTGAGAAATTTGTGTCGACCAAGACAGGAGTCAAACGTCTGTGCACTGAAGAAATGTAGGACAGTATGGACAACATGCAGTCTCCCATTCTGCTCATGTGGGCGACGGCTGTATCGAAGATATGGTACAGCGGAAGGCATTAAAACACCAGTAATGTAACGATATCTGTCAAGTACGGATGTCAAGTACTGTAAAGTGTTTTATAGCAAAGACTTTGCTTACAGTGAAAAATTTTAGTTCGCGGTCTTATGACTCCTTCACTCGCTACGGCCATCTCGCATCACGTGGTGTTACTTCTACAGTCTTATTTTACGTTTTATTCAGCAATTTTATGAAACTTAGGACTTATTTTGCACCGATTACTGCTAATGACATGCCATTTAATTGCATTTAAAAATTATATTTACTGAGTTTATCTCATGACTTCGATCTCGCCTTCGGGTGTGGTGTATTTTTCAATACACCTCTTATTTTATTATGATTACTAAGGGCCTTTGGTAAAATGTTTAACTACTGGTTAGAACTCTTAGAAGTTGATGCCAGAAGATAAGATACGGTCCCAGATCCTAGAAGCACATTCAGTTCCCTAACACCGGGAACGTGGAGTGGACGTATGAGTCACAGCGAAGCCGACAAGATATCTGTAGTCTCGAATGGAGGTTACTGAAATTCCCTACATTGATGTACGTAGCCTTCCTGGACCCAACGACTGCAAGTTCTCATAAAAGTCACTGAAACTTGATCAACGCGAGCAGCAATTGTGCCATATGATACCGGAATGCTGGTAAAATGCGATTCTCCAGCAACTGATTTCTGAGACGTGCAGTAGGTTTTTCGTTCTTACACCAGGCATAACACCATCTCCAACAACAAAAAGTATGATTTACGAATGAATCTGTTATTTTAAGCGCTTTCTTACTGTTATAGCAATTTTTAATAGCTAGCAGCGCACATAATATTCTTATGTAAATAAGAATGAATTATTACTTAAAATGAAACGAAAGTTACTTTATTTTAAATTTAGAAATTTAAAGGAAATCAAATATTTTGTCATCCAACGGTTATAATTTTTTAACAAGAGTGTGAAATTTTAATATATAAACATGTATTCAACGTAAAACTACATTTAAATAAAAACACAAATCTGACTTTTAGCACAGCGTTTCTAATTGTGTGCGCGCAATTAGTAAAGGGGTGGGATTCAAAGCAAAAACAAATCCTACAAATTTTCAGTAATAAGACTATTTTTATGCATGCCTTACGCTGAATACAGGCATTTGAATCACAACTGGAGACTCTCATTTAAAATATGACCGTTAGATAACTAAATGTATGATTTGAACACCATGACCCCATCTTGACAGCCCTTTTTAAACATTTATTATATATTCGTGTTAGAAATAATTTATTCTTATTTATATTTACTTCCCTTATTTCCTCTGGGCACTGCATTCTTCGGCATAAATTCTGAATATTTTTTTAATATTTTCTTTCGTTTTATTACATATATTCGCTCATAAATTAGCATATGCCCATGGAAAAACTAAAAAAACGAACAGGGCAAATAACGGAGGGCATCCATTTATGAAATAAAATTGTTAGCATTAATAAAAAATACAATTTTGGATACATACATAAAATTTAAAAGTACAATCGTGATACTCAAATAAATTTCTTTCATCATTATAGGAGGAGTTTACACTTAAGTTTTTAAGGTCAGTCCTCAAAAAATAAATAAATAAAAAGTGTTTAGAATCATGTTCACATTTTCAAATTAATTTTATAAAATCACGAAATCTAACTTTTTATACGGTCCACCGGCTCCTATATTTATATCCAGTGAAAGTTTATACTCATTCTTTAAAAAATAAGTTTAAGTTCCAAACAATAAAAATTGATACAGTGGTAGTATACAAATTGAAGAGCGAAATGTTTGCCTTTGTACGTAACTGAGAATGTCTATATCTGTTTCATCACTTTAGAAAAGGTTCCTGACGCTAATATAGTAAGTGACAAACTTTGCACCTTTGCATGTATCCCTTCATATCAACCCCTCGTAAAAACGAAAAAATATTAGAGAATTTGCGTATGGCACAAAACCAACTCGTAACATTATTTGCATGAATTAAAAATATTTACAGTTTAATGAATCATTGCTTTTAGTACTAGATTATGTTTCTAAAGTAATAAAACTGCATGGGAATATGAAAAACGTACTTCCTGCATTCTGTAGCAAAATTATTAAAAAAAAAAGAGAGTCAAACAGAAATAAATTATAAAGGAATATTACTAAATGACTATAAAGGGGGAAAAATCAACCTCGAATTAATATAACCGACACTTCAAGGCAAGCCAAAAATGATGTCACAACTTCTCAACTTTGAAATACACATGTCGGTTAATTTTTGTCGCATGGGAATAAAATCATTTCTTAGGAGGAGCATAAACTCTTACTAAGTATATGCATAAGAACCATATAAAAAGTTAGATTTTGTAAATTCTACACAATTACTAACTAATTTTTTTTAATTTAACGGTTGCGAAAAATACAGGCGACATAAGGATTTTTATAAATATGGTGTATGAATGCATAATAATAATACATAGAACTAGAATAATTTCACAATATCACATTTTTCAAAAATATTTTTTTGCTAATATAGGTAAAAATCAACAGGTAGTTAATAAATCGCAAAGTAAGAAGGATGCTGTAACAAATTATAAATGACTGAAAACTGCTCAAATGTATGTGAAAGATACTGTACTTTCTATTCAGACTTTCATCGACTGCATGAATCCAGTGAATTCTTTTAGCTACCCTGGAATGAAACACAGAAAAGTAAATGCTAAAGTAATATACGTCTCTAATACAAGCTATACTTATGAATACCCAAGCTGATCTGACAGCACTGTATGATAAATATGGAATGAACGATCCCACATATGAGCAACTGGGATTTTCAAACAATATTAAGACTTTTACAAACTCCAGATTTTTTATTAAATATAAACAGTATTACAATTACATCAGCAGTGTGAAACATGAAAGCGATTTGACGGTGGATTGCAAATGAATCTTTTAGTTCTAACCAATACATATTCAATAAAATGAAAAGAAACAGAAAACAATGCAGAACTATTCATAGTTAAAGCTTCTTTTGTATATATAAAGAAGCAAAAATGTTTCTCTTTCGAGTATTCCCCCCCCCCGTTTTTTTAATAAAAAGCCACTGACTACGAGTTATGAAATTAGAATTGCTTAACCTCGCATTAAATAATTCTAATTCAAGTAAACATTTCTAAATACTGCTGACGCTGTTACCCTTTCCTTAAAAGGCGACTGGGGATTATGGGACCCAATCGCCAAATCCTAGTGGGGAGAATCATCAGCCACCTCCCTTTTATTTCGGGCGCCACTGTAGAAACATTAGGGATTTTTGAAGCTGGAGAGAGGAAAAATGAGCAATGCCCTTGCCGGGAATCGAACCGCGGACCTCTCGAATACGCGCCGAGCGTGAAGACCACTGCACTAGGAAGGCCCGCTAAGAAGGCGGGAGAAATACCTTATATAGTAACCTGAATTTTCCTAATAAATTAATTTGAACTATATACAAGAAGTATCTAACATATTTTAGTTTTTTTAAAGACTTCGGGAGAAAAATCGCTCCTGGTCATTTTTGTTACTAATACATAGATGAGTAAGCAACGACATAACGGGCAACGGCTTTTATCATTGTAGGCCAAGAAATGAGTGTACATCGAAACAATTTTTAACGAAAAAATTAACAGAAATTTACTCTTCTTTTGATGTACATTACCAATAAATCGTTTTTGAAGTTCACAGTAAATAAACGTGTAGTCAACATAGCAGTCCTATAACTAATATAGAATGTTCTAGATTTAAGTAAATAAATTTAAAAAAGAAAGAAAAATTATTTAACTATAGTGTATTTTTTAAAAATGTCTTCGAGATCTAGCGTAATATCTAAAGTGTTAGTCAGTCAATTACTATTATCTGATCCATAAAACTAAGCCTATTTGCATAATTTAAATGAGGAATAAAATTAATTGTCTGCATCTTCAAAACTGCATTGCAGATATGAGTAAAGTCTAATCAAATTTTTGGGGATCTCGAGATTGTTCATAAACAAATACATTATCACGGGCAATTGTTGCTGTAGACGTTATACGTTAATATTTTAGAAAAATAGTATTGAAGTATGCTGCTGTTTTTATAATAGATCCTTTACGAGGATGTTTTTGTCTCATGCAAATGTCTGCTCCCGTCAGCAGTCAAAGAGGTCAAACGACTCTATAGATTTAAAAGCAAAGTGAGAAAAAGAAGGACCCAAACAAACTGCAAGCAAGATCAAGATATCTAGCGAATAGAAAGAAGGACCTATCGACCTTATAATAAAACGGCGGGAGATCAGCGGCAAGTGACCGTAAATGTCTGTTTCGTAATTTACGATGCAAGACTCCATCCTTTTCCTCAAGCACAGTCTCCGGTTGCTGCCGCTTGAGCACGTGGCTCTCTTCTCTCCACTTCCGGAGTTTTCTTACCACATGCTTGGCAGGAAAACAACCTACCTGCGGATTCTCCAGCTCGAAATATATTAAGATGAATAAAAGCGTCGGGAAGCATTTATTAGATACAGCTTTCCTACTTTTTTAACTTAAATTTTCTGTGACGACGGCAAAAATAACAATAATAAAAAGAAGCATTTCCACTGTAAATAAAGATTATATGTGATGACCTAATACGAAATTAGAAAAAGTGATAGTAGTATGCAGTTATTATTTAATTAACGAAACTAAATTCTTACATTAAAATGATCTTTCACCTCAGATCTCTGAAAGGATGAAACCGGCTAAGTGCTTCTTGAATGTACTTTTAATCAATTAATCTGGTATTTGTATTCAAATAATTTCGAGAGTTACAAACTTTACTGTAAAGATGGCAGTTATTTAAAAATTAATTTTTTATAAAATGCGAACAAAAAATTGACGACGAACGTATTAGTAAAAAGTGCTAGTAAATATACTTAAAACTAAATTAATTTGAATTCATGTGGCCTACCTTCTGCAAATCAAAACACTGTTCTGAAGCTCAATACATGACCTAAAATAGAAATTAATTAAGAGAGATGGGAGACGTTCTAAATATCCATGATACTTGTGCTTTATACAAATAACATTCTAGCAATAGTCAGGGTATCTTCTCGTTTGCTTGCACGATTCATATATGCGCAGCTATCAAAATCTTTCTTTGTTTGCAGGAATTCATTATCTTCATCCTAATACCTTTCCATACTGTCTTCCTGTTATCAAATAATGATAAGTGAAGTAATGCGACGTTCCTCTTCACTCTTCTAAGTTTAGGATGGCAGTATACACCGTATCCACCAAAGTCCTAATCCGGCCTTTAGTTTCGCAATCCTTGGACGTAGACATACGCTTAAAAGTGCCGGTTCCTTCTTTCCCGTTTCATCCCCAGCTCGAAATAGGCTGCTTTGTCTGCTGCCTTTTCCCACCAATCCTCTGTTTCTCGTTTCATGCGCCGTTCGAAAAGTCATTTTACGATAAAGCGAACACATGTTTTCGTCAATTAAAAAGATTTAGAGGAAATGACCCTTACTATTCGACTTATTTCCTGTTTATGTTTTTAAAACTACAGATATCGTTCAGAAGGCGGCCTCTTAAGGATGACGCTGACAAAGTATTCACTATAATTACTTTCTATTAGATAATGAAAGTAATTTATACACACACATGCAATAATAATAATAAATCCTGCATATACAATGAAATAAATACGAAAAATATTCATTACATTCCTTCAGATAAACCATCATCAATAAATAAAATTTCTTTGTATTTTTCTGGCAAAATTAAAACGTCTCGTGTCCCAGGCTGTGGAAAATAAGCCTAACTCCTTACGCCGATATCTGTACATCGAAAAGATTTCACATATTTGAATTTAGGAATTTTTTTGACAAAATCTTAACTCAAATCGATATATGGTGATAAAGTATTGTGATAGATTTTCAGAACAGCAGTAAGTTTGTCATGAATCTTTTTTGCACTTTGTAATACATTTCTCTATCTCGATCTTAGCTCTGTCAAAAATTCGTTATGACTTCCTTCTTCATCATCATCAAAATTTGTCGATAAAATTCCGTATAATAATAATAATAAACTCTGTACACAGTAACATGACATTCTTGATTGCATTCTTTCAGATGTACCATTATCAAAAATTAAGAAATTTTCTTAGCATTTTTCTGGCAGAATTCAATCATCTCGGGTCGCCTAATTCATTATGCCGTTCACAGATTAATAGTTAGGGTTTTTCGTGAACGAAACCTAGTTCCGAATTTCGTGCTGGTAATAGAGTATTATGGTAATCGTTTAAACTTGCTGAATTAGAGTAAGTTCGTCAATCCCCCCCCTTCGTGTTACATTTTGCTATGTTAGATATGCAGGTACGATATCCTTCTTGCAATATATCATCTTCAAAATTTGTCGAAAGTTCCATTCCAGCGAGTTTCTCGGTAAATCCAGCGTTTATTGTCAATTTTTAAAGTTACTTTTAATGTATGTGATCTAACTTCGAATATTGTAACTAGATTACTACGTCCGGTTTCAATAAATTCAGGCTTCCATAAACGCATGATCGCATTTTATACCAAGCTGAATGAAAATATCAAGAGACAAATTCAGAATAATTACATATGGTTGAAAATACAGCTGCATCGTTTTGAAATTACTTTAAAGTAATTGGTGCATTTATTATATTGTTAAGCGTAACACGCTAGTTGGCATTTATCGTGTAATGTTCCCTGTCTGAGCAAATGACTTTTTCAACGCTTTTTAGGAAAAGGGGATCAATCGGGAAAAATTCAGCCTTCCATTCAGTAGAGGTATTAACCATGATGAAGGACAGAAGTGCATGAAACCGGAAAGATTTTCTCAGTACAAGTTAGTGATGAAAGGGACAGGGGATAGCAGTGGATGAACCGCACAATTTTGACCACAGGATGAAAAGAGGAAATCCCCTAGAAATATATTTCCAATTACGAAAATGTTTTAAATGATGCGAATATTTATGTTCCGGCATCTTAAATTTTAAGACGTCAATTTTTTAAAATTGACAAACATTTTAAAATTGACTTTTTATATATCCCTCCGCTACTTTTGCGAAAATTTTATGTTCCTTCTAAAAAATAAAACATGAAAAGTTTAACTCCCGTTTAACTGCTTTAATTAATAAGCTGAAATTATCATCCATTTCTAAGAGCTAGTTTGCAGTCAACAAATCTTCCATATGAACCGCTTCTTGAGCACATAATTCGGCGTTTTACCTGGAATTGTATAGCTCAGTTTGACTCTTGAAAACTGCTGAATAATATACCGAAATTCTATATGTATAATTTTCTTACTTCTTGCCTGTAAATTTTGGAAACTGGAATATTTTCTTCTATTAATCTTGTATTTCAAACATTTGTTTTTCAATCAAGTTTAGCTGTTATTAAATTAATAGGAACGAAATTTCTTTTTTAAAATGGCTTTCTTTCGGTTTCACTAAGTCTCTTCAGACAGTCCTCAACGAAAGAAAAGTAATTCTGCTCAAGGTAAAATATCTTCTTGTGCTTTTTTCAAATTTATTCTCGAAATAATAACAGTTCGTATTTTAGCTCAATATTTATTAACATGCTGCTCTTGACTCAATAAAGATAGCTTGAAATATTATATAAGGAGGTTTAAATTGAAGGTCAGCAGAATAGATTTTCACATCGGTAACATGGAATATAAATTTTGAGCACATAGATGTAAATATACAGGAAAATGCATGGACACATGCAGAAAGCTTAACTAACTTAAAGCAAACACTTCTGTATGAAAATCTTCAATAGGTAATTTTTTTTTCAAATGGTATTTCAAAAAGGGACTCCAAATGCTACATTTTCCAATCCCAACTTCTTACTCAAATTACTCTAAAAAAGCACCTACAATCAAAATTAATTTAAATTATCACATATGTCGTACTATGCATCAAATTTAGCGCTGAGGGTTATTAAAAACTCTGAACAAGATCCATTTTTAGCTAAAATCGTAAAAACTAAAATTTTAACAATGGTATTAAACATCTGCTTTCTTGCACGCACAGCCCAATGACTGAGGCATCATCAACCTCAGTTTGAACAAATCGCTCGCATTGTCCTATATCAAAACAACACAAACATTATTCTAGTCACGCCTCAATTCAGAAGATTCTTCATTATGACGTATAGCAAAAATGCAAAACCAGACAAAGTCACGCTTCACCTTAAAACGCTCATTAATTGTAATTATAAACAAAAGTACCATATCCTTCGCCCCACATTTAATACATAACACATGCACTTGACGTCGAGTGATATTTACGCAAGGGGGGGGGTTTCAAGAGAGCTCAATCGGGTTAGAGGAGCCACAGATAGCGGCTAACTTTGTTCTAGAGGGGTCGAACAAGACATTCTGCAGATACACTCTCCCTAGACGCTCAATGCTGTGTAAAGTCCGATAAGAGAGACTTACTGTGATTTTGACCGGCTCACTGCAATTAATTATGCTTTAACAAGACAGGCAGTTGTAGTTAGACCTTTTTTTTCCGCAATATTTTATAATATTACCAACTCAAGAGAAGCCGCAAATAAATATTTTGAAAATCGTAGTAGTAAGTACGCAGTACGTGAAGTTACGTTAAAGAAGAAGTGGAGTTAAGTATGAACTATAATTTTTTTAAAAATAATATATGGTCTAAAATTTCTTACTACGGATGAGCACTCTTCTATAATTGTTAAGAGACCTGCAGATATTCATCCTTTTTGTGTTTTGCACTGTATGCATAAAATTTCTATGACACATTCAGTTCTTGCAATAATACTTGAAGAACCTGTAAAGAAAAATATTATTTAAAAAATAAGAAGAAAAATGCTATAATTAATATCATGTTAAGGAAAAAGACAATTTCGGAGTCTCCGGAAAAAATAAATAAACTTATTGGAAATGAATAATGCAAAGTGTAGTGAAATATGCAAATCTTAAAATAATTAAATTTAATATGTGGAGGCCAGATAGTTTTCTTGTACATATTCAAAGCCGTATGTGTAAGCTATGATAAGATTTAAGAAACTCATTAGCTTTAGGTTGAACAAAACACAAAAGCTAAAAGTGTATTTCACAAAAAGAATTTTAATTTAGCATTCTTTAAGCAATAATATGCATCGATGCAAATTACGCAGTAGAATAATCACAGCATTAAATTGCTATGTAAAGAATAAAAATTTTGAAAATATAATTTATCGTACTCCTTAAGAATCCGTAAAATTAATATAATATTATATCTACAGTAATTACTATTCGTTACAATATTTCTTAATTAAATGAATCCGCAGCGAGAGTTTTTTTTTCCATCTCACTTTTTTTTCTTTTCTTTTGAGGGGAATATTATTCATTCCTGAAATTAATACACGAAACATTCTGCTTACATTTGATGGAGTTAAACGACAAGGCCGGCGTTTAATACGCTGTTTAAATATATTGCGTAATATATTATACATGAAATAATAACAATCAGATCCGAAAGCATCTTCTTAAATATATTGAAACCTTCACTAAACATTTTCGTGCACCCGAAGAGAACACAAAAATATTCAATTAATTTCTAACACGTTTTAAATGAATTAAAAATTATAGAAAATAAAATAATTTAAATACATAGCAAATACAGCAGACTACCTTTTAATCGGTAAGCAATGGAACCGCACCAATTCTGGATAAGAGGTTTTTTTTCCGTACAACTGAATATATATTTCTAGAACTGTTCATCTTTAGTGATGTTGTTTGTAGAAATTGCAGCATGCGTAGTCTGTAAGTATTGTTTTTGAACTATTGGCTGAAATTACATAAAATATTATGCTGCCGATCAACTGAGATAAAACTGAAAATCGTACACGTTATTTAAAATTAAAATACATAATATGATTTTACATTTCAAAAAAGCAAAAAATATTTAAAAATTATCCTATTTATCACATAAAATTTACGAATTTCTTTGTACGATGGAATATAACTTCGAATGCCTGATTTTTGACGACTGTCGCCGCAGTTTTATCTTTCCGAGGAAATTTCTTACTGCGTGTGTCGTCTTCATCTTCATCTGCTTTCCTTCTCGTCATCTTTCACCTTTCCCAGTACATTTCCGTTGTCATCTTGAGAGAGTGTGACAGGAAAACAACTGATTGCATTCATCCAATCCTGCACCTTCTCTTCATTAACACTAATCTTCTCCGAATAAAGTTAATAAGTCAATCTCAGATGTAACATGGGTACCGGATGGGTTTTAAAATCAAGAAAATCTTTGTCACTCGATTATTCATCTAAAAACCTGATCATAGGGCACAATTTACACCAACACCGATTTTTTTAGGTGTTCTTCATATGTTTCCAGGAAAGTGACAAAGTAAAAAAGGCGTACTTTAGTGCAAATTTTCATATGAAAATCGTGGACGCTACATTCAACGCATACACGTGAAAGCATAAAATGCAAATGGTAGTTCATCTTTATATTCTGGATAATTCTTTATTTACTAGATGGGTGAGGCTTCATACGTTCGGCGGCAGCAACATAACACAAATGTTTTCAACATTGATGTCTTCAGATTGTTAGCACACTATATAACTTTTCATCTTATAGGCCTAAATTTCGAGTTTAAATCTAGACTTTCAAAACTGCCGTTATTTTGATATTGCCGGTTACGAAGGATTTTACTGTACTACAAAAACCCGAATATTTCTCATATGATTTAAAAGCATTGTGTTTTTTTTTCCCATCATTCAGTCATAAAACTTTTTCTTTCAAAAAAAGTTACAGTTACTTAAGTTGCTTTAATTTGTTAACTTAATTCTTTTATTGTGTTAAAATAGAACTCATTAAGATTTTGGGAACGATTTCCTGTTTTCCATCTAATCTCTGTATCTTCGAATGAATCCATAATAATGATATCCTGCCATTATTTGCCGGTTAGGATATATTTTAAATTTAATTACGTAAGAACTTTGAAAATGGAAAGATTGACAATATTTATATACTGAATTAGGGAGAAACTATAAGAATAAATATGTCTTGGAATACAGGAAATGTTCATTTTTCAAAACTACTGCCGTTTCTGTAGACGATAAATAAAATGTAAAGTAAAAATAATTTCCTGTTTAAGACATTTAACGTGCACTTAGAAAACGATAAAACACTTCCCTTCAAAATTTTTGTAAAGTTAACAGCTCGTTATATGAAATGCTATTTAACTAATGGTATACATTTCGCGCTTCTTCGACCGCTTCAAATTCTATATTTAATTCCAAACCTCTTTCAAGAAAACATATAAACAATTAATAACATCACAACAACTGAAGTATTATACAAGATTTTTACTTACCGATGCACTTACCTGGTGTCTTATTCCTGCCAACTTGCAACTGTCACACAGGAAGCATCCGGTTTTATTTCAAGAACTTTCAAGTATATTCTTTACAGCAATTTGTTTAGTTTTTCAATAAAGTATTCCAGTCGCTTACGAAACAGTCAACTCATTTCATTGCAGATGATATATTATAACCAGCAAGCTGCGTGGCAATAGATGGAAATACCTTTTTCTGTTCATGATATGCGTCTCTTATTTTTCATGTGAGTAAAAATTCGAAATGTTACATGTGTCTGCCGCGTGTTTTATAATCATTGGTCCAAACATTAAACTTGAGACAAATCTTGTGCTCCCAGAAAGCACATTTAAGTGTAAACTTTATAAAATCTCTCTGTTTATTTATAATAAGCATAATAATATCTTTGAAGTAAGCATTAACTGGAAATGGTATGTTTATTCAAATGCTTCCAAAGAATTTAAGCGTAGTTGCCTTAAATGACGAAATATATTCTAGTGTCAAAACGCCGAAATGTTGTTAAGCTTAACGCCCGCAAATACATAACTTAACCCTCTGAGCATTACGGGTTTAGCCCTGAAATTTCAAAGTTCCTCAAAATGTCATGAATAAGTGGTATTTTCTTGATTTTAATTTAAACATGACTCTCTCATTTTGTAACTTGATTCCTTTTCTTCCAATATACATCCAAACCGAAATCAGATATATTAAAAGCTAGCAGAAATATTTATGTATAATGAATATAGAAGGCAGCCTTCTATACGGAATTTTTCGGCCGTAACGCTGAGAGGAAAAGAAAAAAACTGCTGTAGAACAAGTTCGGTAAAATTAAAGCAATACAAAGTGGTCTCAATGTAATAACTTCTGGCGCAGTTCTAAAGTGATAAATGAAAGATTTCATTTCATCCACTTTCCTTTCTTTAAAATTGTGGGGAAAACAAAAAATTTAAGTGTACATCCTTTAAAAAAAATACTCCCGTGAAAATTCACACAGAATATGTGAGCTGTGTCAGCAGAATGTACCGTAATATTACAGTGGTTGCAGTGCAATATTACTATTTTTTATATTGTGGCAGAACATTAGTTACACTTATTGTACATTATGCAAATAAATGTATTTCCGAAGTTCAAATGAAAACATTAGTGAATGAAACATGAAACTCTATCATCACAATAAATGTGGAATTTTCAGAAACAGATATCGTGTAAATGAATCCATTAGTGAAAGAATACATCTAATAAGGGTTTACAAATCGTTCTGTATCATGTGTGAATCATAGAAATACTACAGGCAGGAGGGAATTATTAAAAAAATATTTTCTCTGTGTTTAAAGAGAGAAAATTTAAATATGTTTTGCATATTTAATAATAAAATATATTTTTTCTTTCTTTTTATAATTTTCATAACTACAATTGGACGCATTAAAATGAAATCTGTACAGATAGATATCTTACATGATTTTTTGCAACAATTATTTTTTAAGGCAAAAGTATTTAATCACAATTTTGAGCCCATGATCACACTTCAAACATTATTATTTTTGCCATAATAATTGTCAAAATTTGATAGAAATTTTCTGCATTTGTAACCGTGAGATGCTAAAATTTTGTTGTTATTAGGCGATAAAATACTAATAGTGCTAGTCTATATATGAAAGGTATATAAATTTGAAAAATAAGTTTACATGCCTTGTATCATACATAAACAAGAGATTATTTTTGTATTAATGTGCCAACTGAATGCTAAAAAAATTTTGTTGTTTCCTTTGAGTGCAGAAATAAAAACGAGTACTTTTGTTCTGTTTTAGCTGTGTTTGAAGAAATTTTTTAATCCGTTGTATGCTGAGGAAGCAATGTTCACACTCAAGCGTCCAACCCTCTGTAAGGAGAGAGAAAAGCACACGAAGAAAAAGACCAAGTTGCCCTTAAAAAGTACTGAGGACCCGGGAGACTTCAAAGGTATATGTCTTCTTGATTTAAAGCACCTTAGCCGACCTAATTTTTTTTCACTCTTCTTGTTTTGCAGCAGCACTCTTTCGCAGTTCCTCTTTGACTAAAATGGTATTTTTAAATTCAATGTTGGCACAATATTTCTTGCTTTGAAATTCCTTTCCATTTAGTCTGTGACTTTTTTTTTAAAGGCTTTTACCTTATTTTCTCTTACATAAAATATGAAATCTTATGTGAACATAACTTTTCACTTATGCTCATATGAAATAATTTCTGCCTTTAAATCGAATAATTACTTTAATCATTTTAATTTACAATAGCATATTAAAATGCTATGTTAATGTAATGGCGCAGATAGTTTTGAGAAATATAACTAGCACTTTTAAAACTGCTTAGAACAAATGATGATATGTTATTCTTTCATCGTTTCTAAACATTCATATCTTTTATATCGTCTTAGAAAGAAATTAAAATAGCTGTGATATCTTTGTAAACTGAGTATAACAGTTATTCAGAAAAAAATTAAAGAAACAAATATGTTCTTATTAATAGCTTAATATTTATCCAGATATATCACCCTACATCTTTAATATTTTTTGCTGGGCCTTTGGTTGCTAAGATTTTGCCTTCAACTGAAACACAAAACCGTTTATTTCTTTCACTTCTCCGTACTCCCATTAGTTAAAACTGCTAACGTATTTAAGAATTATGAAATGTATGAATAAGTGAAAGAGTGAAAAATCTTCCCAATATGTAAATGTGTAAAACCTTATGCAATTATACCAGCAATTACAGTCGAACTCCAACAAGCCGTAACTGAAGAGGGGGAAAAGATAAATCGAAAATTCGATTTATCTTTTCCCCCTCATTCATTTTGAATTCTATACTTCAACATTCAGTTCGACTTACGGAAGTTCGAGTAATCGACGTTTAGCTGTATATCTCAATCCAAAAGATAGCAAATAGATTATATCACAAAATTTAGTGAAAAACAGATATGATAGCATTTGAAAGACTTTCTGAAATGTTGCAGTGTGGTTATGTTAAACTGTTAAATAATGATAAAAACCTAATTTCTTTCACGTATTACAGCCTTCTTAAGCCATCATCTAGATATTATTTAGGAAAAAAAAAAAAAAAAAAGCTTTATCATGTTTATTATTATTATTATTATTATGATTAGTGATTTTGTTAAAAAAATTGTTTTTTACCCCTAATCGATAACTGTTTGGAATAAGTATTAATTAATCATTGAGTAAATGTCAGCTTTTCCCCCGTGAATTTTGGTACGAAGTAAGGACATGGTGAAAGTGGGTTTTTTTTTTTTTTTTAAATCCATGAATACGTTTTATTATGAGTGTAATGGTGGCAGATGACATGGAAAAATTTCTTTAAGCTGATTTGCATCAATACCTGTTATATATATATATAATTTATTTACTAAATAAGTAAATGAATTTAAGATCATACAACATTATATATACTCGTGTGTATATATATATATATATATATATATATATGTGTGTGTGTGTGTGTGTGTGTGTGTGTGAAGGAAATTGCATCTGTTAGAATTCAGTAGCGACTTTCAAAGTACGTATAGCATTCAATATACTTCTTGAAAGTTCACTGCAAGCACCACGAAATGCAAACAGAATGCTCCTTTGAATTTAAATTATCTTACAAATTATAATAAAATATTTAACTTTTGAGAACATTTTAAGGAGTTTTAACTATTTAAATTAATATTGATATTGTTTGCGTATCAAATCTGAATTTACACCACAAAGGAAGAAACTAATTTTTTAAATATTTTAGAGCTTTAAAAGGATTTAAAAATAATTTCTCAATCTACCGATATACATGCATTCTTTCGCAATTCATAAAATAATCAAAGTTAACTAAACTAAAATTCCGATATTGAAATTTCTCTTTTTTCCAAAATTCTTTTTTAACAAACTCTTATAAAAGCGAAGAAATTGAGCAAATAAATTTGCTATAAAATGATACATAAGACATAAACGAATACAACGCATAACTTATTCTAAAACAATAACTAAATATTCCCATTTACACAAGTACCCAAAACATGCAAACCGAAAAACCAGTATTTCCATATTTTGACCATTAAATAAAGTTTAAATATGAATGCTGCATCCTTAAGTCATTCTAGAACCGTTGTGACAAAGATCTCAGATCGAGCACGTACAGGTGAAAGGCGAAAATTCGATCTGAGGGGAGAATAAAAATAGAACTTTACAGAACGATCTAGACTTTTGCGCGAACTAACACAGATATATACAAGCGATAAAAATCAGCGATGAAACCGTGAAAATTTTTGTTGATATTTCTCGTCTCTGTCTTCTTTTACAGATGCATACATGACCTAGAGGACTGCAAACGCGGGAAAAAACGAAGGACTAAACCCCTGGGGCTGGTGACAAAGAATGCATCCCGCAGAGCCATTGTGAAGATCCACCATTTATGAATGTAAAGTATGAAATCTCCCTGCCTGGGGGAATGGATGCTGCCTATTCATAATTTCGACTTCCCTTCACATGTCTGTTAAAAAAAAAAAAAAAAAAAAAACCTCTGTACTAGACTCTAACTTTGTTAGCTAGAATTTAAACAATGGACATGTAGGCCACGTAATATGTGCTCTCTAAAATGTGACCTGTAGTGGCTTAGAAATAAATTTCCTGACTGATTATAAATTCTTACAAACGTGTCATTCATATTTTGTCCAATTCCACGCCATAAAAATTTAAAGTTAAAAAAAGATAAGTGAATAAGAATTAAATTTTTGCAAAAATGTAATTTTTCGTCAACGATATTAAAATTCAAAATATTAATGGTTAATTAATTATTAATATAATTAATACGTTGTTGGTAGTTGTGTTACAGCATGTTACACAACTACCTGCTTGTAAAAGTTTTGAACTGAATTTACACTAAAATTAAAAATAAGATTCAAGCGATTAAGAGACAGAAAGCTTTATGTTATTTTCCAATGGCAGGTTGTGAACAGTTACACTGTAACACAGTCCATTAATCTATACAAGGCCAGACGTGGTGGTCTCTTTATTATGGAGGCACCTAACAGGCGGGCCACGATTGCATCCTATGAAGGGACGGACAGTTACAACCATGCCTTCTTCGGGATTCGAACACAGGCCCTTCGACATCGTAGTCAGGCTTCCCTAACCACTATACCGTCTGGGCGGCGAAAAGCTTTATATGGTATTTATATTATTATTTCTCTTATCTTTCGGCTGACCGTACTTGTCTGTACGTAACATTTAAAAATGTTAGTTGTGGTCAACAAGACAGTATGCAATAAAAGTTAAAATAATTAACGTATGTTCGTTCATTCCGTCTACATCATAGACGTCTAAGTAAACTGATGACAAAAATTTAAAAAAAGGCTGAAAAACGGTTGTTCGTTTAAAATAAACATCAGTTTTTGAGCCCAGAGATTTTTTTTAACGTTTCCTCTGCTTCTGTACATACGTAAAATAGAATCAAATACAAGACTTTATCTGAACTTCGCACATATTGCGTCTACTACAGGAAACTTAATTTCTGAAAATGAAATCTTATTTTCTGACAATTTCTCTAAACTTGTTAACGATGTATATTAACAATCGCGAAGGCAGAAAAAGCGATAATAAAACGAAATAATTAGCTAATAAAACCAAGTACCTATTACTACACGGGGAACAATTTCTTCTTGATGCTAATTTAAAATATGTCATAAAAAGAGCCACATAAAAAATGAAACGCATTAACAAAGAACTGCACCCGCTTGTTCACCAACAAGGTGTAAAAAAATACAAACACTTTCTTTTTAAATCAGTCTATCGCTTATATCAAAAGGTTTAGTTTTATTTATTTATTTTATTATGGTAAAGCATGCTAAAGCCACATGTCTATGAAGAGGGATGCCTTTGTACAGGACTTGAAAAAGAAAACCTGCTCGTATCAACGTTACGCTTGAGGAAAACAGCTATGTAGCCAGCCCGTTCGTCAGGAATCAAGCCCAGGTAAACTACCAGGATTAAGCGCCTTCACGGCTTGGCCGCTAGTGAGCACCCTGCATTTAAAATAAAAAAAAAAAAAATAAAAAAAAAAAAGATATATATAACCTGGCATTGACTTCATCATAGCAAACGGAACATGAACAACTTGTGAGTATGTCAGCACTACGCATATTAATCATTTTAAAAAATAAACTAATGCTTAAAGAAGAAAAAAAGTGGGGAGACGAAGTTAAAATACTATCGAAAAATGACAAAAACAAATTAAGTCCTTCATGATAAATTTAAAAATATGAATAAAATCATCGAGTATTTCACTATAATACTCTAAAAATCTTTCCATTTATTCCTCAGAATTGTTAGAGAAGTCCTATTAACAACATGTTTCCAAAAAGTGTGTAATACCCAAAAAAGTATTTTGCATTATTTCACACTTCAAAATAATTATTTCTTTATTTGAAAATTAATTTTATTGGATATCTCCACTTCAGAGTAACTGATATAAACTTTTTTAAATTTATCAATTTGTAAATCAGGGACAAGTTGCTAATTAAAGTTTAGGCTGTATATTTGCTTTAAACAAGCGTAAAACGTACTGCAGAGGGAAATCCAGCTACAGATAATTCGTGGGAATGACTTAGAATTCTTTTGTAGAATCATAAAAGAACCTTTGCATTATCCACAGCATCGCCCTAAGACAGGCCTTTCGGACCAAGGCTACTGTCCCTTGTTACGTCACGTTTACAGCATCATAAAACACGGCGACGACAGAACAGGGAGCGATCCTTAATCAGTATTATTGCCCCACGTGACTAAAACTGGAGTGGTGGCCCCCTGCAGGGGGCTGTAAATGGCAGGGGCAGAAGTGGGCCACCTTGTGACCAGAAATGGGATGTTTCACTTAAAAAAACTAGCATTCACAAATAACAACCGATTTTTTTTTCAACTTGTGTGTGTGTGTGCTCTACATTCCACATTTTTTGGATTAATGATTATTAAATATGGAAGATCGAAACAAATTGGATACACATAAAAGAGGTAAGTCTGAATATATTTCGCATGCATAAATTTAAATCTACACTTGTTTACGCAAGCGATCATTTTCAAAAATTATGAATAACATTTAAACACACATCGCCCAATTTTTGTATCACATAACTTTAAAATGTGTGGTTTATTTTTCTGAAGTTCTGTTATTTTTAATGATCACTCAACATGATGAAATTAATTTGAAATGCATTGTGGAAAAGTTTTGTGGCATCACGCAAAGGTTTGCAAAAGACACATTTACGTAATTAATAACCGATACGCATTTATAAATCAAACTTCTTGTAAAAATGAGAAATATTATACATTTCTTGATGCCTGAAACATACTTTAAACAAGCTTCTCCGAACAAACATTACACAACAAACATCGCAAGGTTATTATAAAACAGTTTGATAACATTTACTGCCAAATTTGAGTAATAACGAATTTTCCATTTGACATAAGCATATAGATTATATTCCTGTGATAGTAATTTTCTGGTGGAGAAAATATAGTTTTAAACAAGAAAACAATATAACTCAAATTTGTGTATATATAGACAGATCGGAATTCAATAATAAATTATACGCAGTAACAGAAAAATTATTACTTGTCACCTACGCGCGAAATGCGAACAGATTTTAAATTTTAAAACAGTGTTTACGTAAACACAGCGCAAATTAATAATAATAATAAATAAATAATATATCCGTATATTAATGTGATTAAAAATAAATAAGTAATCAAATAAAATTCGCAGAGAAGCGGTAATGTAATAATTACCATATCCACTCTTCCTTTAAAAAAAATTCGCTTTCTACTTGAGAGGCTGAAAAACATTTTTAGACGCATACATATGATATAGGTACTCTAAACTAAATCTCTATATTCCTCGTTAGAGCCAGCGTCTACTAAACCGCGCAAATCGAATCGTTATCGGTAACTGATGCCTAAATTGTAAATTCTTATCCTCCCTTAGCGCTTACGCAATGGAATGGGATTTACATCCGCAATCCGTTCACTTACGTGATTTAATCTGATCAAGTCCACGCAGAAGGGAAAAAATTCGACTTTTATCCCAAATAGGCTGAAGCCGATGGATAGGCCCATAGAAAAGAAGGCCTACAGGAAATGGTCGTTGCCAATATCTAAGGGCATCCATTCCAGAAAAATCGATGAGCTAGACTTTCCCGACGTCTGTAATCCCCCTGCGACGAACCAAGTGGATTAGGTTGCTGTACGTTCTCTATTTATTCTAAGAGGGTTATATACGTGCATTTCTTGTCTGTTTATAGTTCGCTATTTCTCTAAATTCTCAATAACAGTGAAAGAGGTTTTATTCATAACTTAGATAAATGATCAGATAGATTACTGCATTAAATACTTAATTTTTATTAATAAAATTGCTTAGAAATTACAGTATGCCCCATTTCCAGTTTCAATTACATTTTTCATTCGCACATTTATACATTTATCTCATGTATACTGCATGTATTTAAAATGAAATAAGATAAATACATGAGAATTACAGACAATGTAATAGATTACCATTTCTGAAAACGGAAAATTTTAATTAAATAGAAAACAGTTACTAACGACTGAAATTAATATTTTACGTGCTTAGAAATAAGAAAAATCAAAAAGAGTAGTGATATTTAAATAAAATATTGAGAATTTGTAGAAGCAAGAAAGCACAATAAGAATTCAAACAATGAAAAGTGTGAAATATCTTGCTTTAAAAATTTTTTAATATTAAATATTTAATTCTGAATAAATGCATTCCTATAGCTACACACAATTACTTTAAAATTTTTGTGATTCAAAGAAATCGTATTACAAAAATAGAAGTCATTTATTACTTACAGTAATTAGTAACTTAAGACATATATTGGCATTCTGCAAGCAAATGGCGTTTCTTTGCTAAATGTGAGCAATTTGAGAACCATTTGCGCAGCATGGAAAATTCTAAGCAAATTAATTATTATTTTTAAAATTTAGTTTTTATGGTCGAAAGATTCGTAATTTTTAGAACTTTGTAACTCCGGAGTTCTGAAAATAAGATACGAACCAGTTTTCCTTGGAAAGTCCTCCACGAAGGCATCCCTCCCTTTCGGGAGATAGTTCTCGAGGCTTTGCCATAATCACATACACACACTGAAAATGAGATCTGATTGCACCAATTAATTTATTGACTGCACTTTATGCCATCTGACGTAAATATTTTTTGTAACCATGTATTTGAAAATTAATTTCCCTTTTACAAGTCCACAGTATTTTCTGTTTTACATTTAGTTTTTATTTTCTAATTAATTTACTCCCACTGAAATGCTACGATTTTATAATTACATAAACTAAACGCATTTTTTTCCTTTTAATAACTTTTCATACACATTAATTCGCAGTATTTTTCTATAAGAATTTCAACGTATCTCCGTCAAAAAGTTAATAGAAGCATATAACTGTATTTCAAATCTTCTACAGATGAATAAATTTACAATGCAAAAAAACGTTAATTTAGAGGAAATTTTTAAATTTTTCCGAAAAAATGAGACGAAATAAAAAAATCCGCACAAAAGTCCGGCTAATTAAAAATTAAAGAGTCTAACAATAAAGAGACACTACGACTAAGCTTTTCAAAAAGCAAGCTACGAAATATACCGATCCCATCCACTGAAACAGACTCGGAATTATCATCATTAAATTGCATTTTGCGTAAACCCCCTCGTGACTCCAGCTATTATTCCTTCCTCCGTTTCAACTGGACAAGGATTTTAAGAAGATTTATGTTCTGGCTGTGACTTATAAGCAATGGCTAAGAATATCCAACTCCCGTCACAGCGTAGTAAGAAATGTATTTTTAACTTCTTGCTCGAATAAACGCGGATGGAGGAGCTCCCGCGTGGTCGTGCACATACATGAAAAATTCTGTACACCGCTGAGGAGAAGACACATAAACTGATCAAAAGGCTGACTGCCTTCTGGGTATCTACCGTGCCGAAAAATGGTATATGTACAAGTGGTTCGTACGATTTATTATTTAGATATAGCCAATGATTTTAGTTAGTTCTCTTCATAATTATCGCGTGAATGCTATTTAGAAAACAAAACAGTTTATTCAGTTGACGTAATGTTTACAATCAATACTAACATTAAACTGACGAGAATAACCATCTGATATAAAACGAGGAAGGCAACAGGTAAAGAAGCACTTTTTAATATCCTAACGGAGGAATCAACGTTACAACATAAACTAAATTTTAAAGCACTGATATCGAGCAATATTAAGGTGTAAAATTAGCAGTCAGTTAAAGACACCAAAGCTCTTGCCACGGAATGAACAATAAAAAGCCATATTTTAAACAGGACAGAGAAATTATAAAGGGAAATGAATGAATAATACTGCTTTCAAAAGTTAAAAATATTTTTAGTCTATTACATATTATTTAAAAATTCAATGAACACTTATTAAATGTGTTAATTCAGTAACACATTATATTATTACTAAAAACTAAAACCGAAGAAGCAATGTTTTCTAGGCCCTTCATGTAAATTAAAAACATTTATTGTTTATCTCGTATCAGAGGAATTTGTATTTGCCCTGCAAATTAGGTTGATTATTTTTAATGGGCACTACCGTTAAAAAAGCTTGCTTTTATTACATTGCTGTTTGCAATAATTCTGCCCCATTTAACATGTACTTGAAAAATACGCGTAAAATGCAAAGGAAGATAGATATACACATACATGAACTAATTTACTGAGTAAAGGGTGCAGAAGTAATATATTTTTTAAATGTTTTTCCCTCTTATTTTGACAAGCTTCAAATTACGTAACTCTTTATACAATCATTACTACACTCAAACTGCATTGATGGAAAATCATCTACAAGGAAATGATAACACTTCCTTGTTTTGTATGATAAAATGCCTTTATATGTCATCGTCTTTATTCATCGAGAATTATGTTGCTGTTAAACTTATGGTATTGTAATCAGAATTGTTCAGCAGGCGGAACATACCTGAACTGCAAATACTATGTGCTTTTTATGTACCACTTTATAATTTAGATGCAGTTTCAGAGTCTAACATTTCATATGCATTGCGCTGAAATGAAATAGCAATATTCTATGATCACACGTCTTTCAATGAATAGCGCAGAAATGTATTGTTGTTATACGTAACGCATTGACCATGAGTAATGCAGAGTGATTAAAATAATTTTAAATTTTAGAAAATGATTTAAGTTCTTGACGATTCCGATTTAGAATTTTTGATTCATATTTCTAAGGCGGGGGGGGGGGGTATGAGAATAGAACTTTTTTCAAGCTTATTATCACAGTGCCCAAAATAGGATCAATCTACTTCACTCAGCAATTCCTAGAAATAAATATAAAGGAGAATTACAAAGTTAACATTTCAAACAAAAACAGAACAAACATACAGCTAGAAATGGAGCCTGTTTCCTCTCATGAGAATGGGATAAAAGTGCAAACCTAGTCGTAAAGGAAAGGTTTTAAGCTCGGCTTACAAATGATGTTTTAGGTCGTATAAAAACGACATTAAAACGAGGTAAAGAGAAGAAATTTTTACTGTCATAACTTTTCCTCGCCCACGAAGAGTAAAACGTTTCATTTCTGTTCACCCTTCTCGATGTAGCAGATACTACCAGATAAATGCTTGCCTATGAAAAAGTAAATAAATAAATAAAAATAAAGTGCCGTCACATACAGGGCTTGAACGTAGGGGAAACGTCTCCATTGCTTGTCAGTTTCTCTCCCGTCCCCTATTGGGCAATTCAATCTCATTACCAACACAGAACCCCCCCTTTTTTTGAAAAACAGGGTCGGTTGTTAGCGGTAAAGGGGGGTATGCAAACATTGAAGTATTTACCTAGCTTTCGAAAAGCATATTTGCTTAAAAAGGTAAGGAGCATGGAGATAAAATGGTCGTCATTTTTATCTAAAATTTCTATAGCTATTCAATTCAACAGTAGCTTAACCTACATTATAACTATAAGGACGCTTTAGAAATATATATTAAGGAGTATCCGTTTTTATACACTACATTGTTTGACCAATACTTCGAAATACTTTTATATGCCAGTTAATTCCCTTCCGCTTTTTGTCATGCACTTTTAGAAAATTTCATTTATAATTCATCAAAATTAAATTACCTTGTTCCCATTCAAATTTTTTTAATTCTGAATTCTTCTGATTACACCTTATTCTGGAATGCATATACGACATAGAAGAAATTTGAAAGTGCTAACATTCGGAAAATTACGCTCTCCTACTCAGTTGCAACTGAATCATATATTTATTTAGCACACATTTCAATATAAATAACAGCCACGCCTGCGACTGGCAATTTATACATTATTTAACGTCATTGTTGAAATGAAAAATTTGGGGAAGCACTAAAAAAACTGCAAGTATCCAAATGCGATATAAACGTACTCAGTGGTAGCGGTAATGTTAAAGTAATGATACTTAAAAAATGGTCAAATGCTCGTTATTTTCCTTTACAAATTAGAAAAAAAAAAAAAAAAAAAATACATAGCAGTAATACAGACTGCCAGTCATGAGGTATTAGGCTATGTATTAAAACACAAAATTTCCATTAAAGGAAACCGTAATTATTTAAATTTTCAAATCTAGAGCCCGAAAAAAAGTCGAGATGTTTTGGAAAGTGGATTAGCTTTTCCCGCACTCTCTTTTTTGAGGGGGAGGGGAGGGACAGGGTCACGCAACACACGAAATGAAGGCTTTATTAAAATAATACCGAACATAAAATTTTAGTCGAAATAATTCTTTTTTTTTTATTGCGTCCGCTAGCATTTTAAAGTGATCAGAAGATCCAGCGCGTAAGAGTTTGCATTTAATTGCGAAATAAATGATGACTGACTGAAGATTGCGCGATTCGTTATTTCTGAAATGTGATAGGAAAATAATATATCATGGAGCTATTCCTGGACATAAGCAATACACAAATGTTACTACATAGAAAGTAAGCAAATCTGCTTTTAATTGGGACTGAATAAAAAATATTAAATTAATTTCATTATGATATTGGGCTCAAATATTTACAGGTTTAAATGGAATAAAAGTGTCCTGTTACTGATAAGATGAAATAATTCAACGATATAAAGAAAAAAAAGTTCTCTAGAAACACGAAAATATTTTAGTCGAATAGGGCGGGAAATTTTTTCATACACCAAATTGCGATTTACAACTATAATCCTCTCTCTATTAAGGAGAGGCAGTGGTACTGATATGATTTCTGAGAGCCAGAGGAGCTGTGTTAATCAGACCAAAATAAGCGCAAGGAAAACGTAGTATAGAAGCACTTCCTTGAAATTCATGCTGGTTTAAAAATAATAATAATTCAGAATGATGCGAAAAGAACTTCTAGAATGACGCAAAGCAAACGTACAGCGAAGTAAATGTGGAATTTTCTTTTATGTGCTTTTCCATTTACGGACTGGATTACTAAATAATTCCTCAAAATATGTATTAATTAATTGACCAAGCGAAATTATTTCTACAACGAGTGTAAATTTTGGCATGGTCCCTTTCACAAACCAAGTCAAAGGGACTAGAGAAAAGATAGGAAAGCAAGCGTGCATTACAGTGATTGGAAGCGCATTAGAGCACGTTTTAAAAAGGAAAAGCGTCCTGAAAGATTTATACCTCCAAACACAAAGAGAAGCAAGTGAGGGGTTAGGATACAGCGGGAGGGGGGGGCAGAAAGAAAAGCCATGGTTCGGGCTTTCTGTTTATCAAAGAACTTGCTCCAGGGTTGGAGGGGGGAGAGCAAATTCAAAGGGGCAAAAATAGGGGGTAGTCAAATAAGAGAAAGAAATGGGAAACGGGCGGGGAATGATTACGTAACTTGCACTTATTTCGTTTTGGGAAGTTTCCTGAATTTTGTGAGAATTGCCCGACTGTATGGGGAAGAGAAAGAAGAAAACCCAGTAAAAAATTTACTTGATCAGGGCAGAAAGTAGTGTGGGAGAACAGTTTCCCCCCTCCTCCAACGGAAGACAAGGGGGGGACACGAATTTTACAACATGCGTCTATTTGGGAAAGCCCATTCACTACACAAAAATAGACGCAAATGATTGATATTTTTTTTACTAGACTATATATAAATAAATAAATACTTTTCACTGCTATCACTTTTAAACATTTTAGAATAAACGATGGCCCAGCGCAATATTGCTACTAACATAGCACAAATTTAAAAATTAGAATACTAAATTTCATAACAATTTGTCTTTAACTTATTGAGATAGTTCGAAACAAATGCAAAAGACCTTACATAAAATTATGTTTCATGGTTTTCCTGCGAAATGTTAGACTGAATTGAAATTTTTACAAAAGAAAAGATACCACTCATCACTTTAAACCATTTTCCATAACTGAAAAAATACTAAGAGGTAGCATTTCTGCAAATCAAAATACAATAATATGTATAACCAATTCTTGGATTGAAAACATAGTATTTTCAGTTTCTCTTCAAAATTAAGAGTTCTCTTAAAAATTCTCTTATCCTTTGCTCTTCTAAATAAATATTTAAAGCCAAAAATATAAATGAATAAAATGCATAAATTGATTACCTCCATTTCCAGCTAACTCCAGAAAGGTTTCATGACGACTAGTTTCCAAAGAAAAGCTATCATTTTTCTTGTGTTGCAGACCTTTCTAGAAAACTATGCCGCTATACCGCATAAGAGTTTCATATGAAAGATGTTTCCAGAAATTCTGAGAAATTTTTATTCTTGTTGCCATAGGTAACTTTTACAAAATGTATAAGGCACCTTAGGGCTATGAGTATAAAACTTATCCAAATTTTGTCTGATTGGAGAATTAAAGAGTCTAAGAAACTTAAACCCCTCTTCCCCTAACACTAGAAAGGACTCTTCGATGGATTTTAAATTTCACTCAAAGATACAGCCAGTCACAAAAATCCCTCTCTTTTCTGGTTTCAAACCCTAGCCTATCCG